AGAGAGAGAGAGAGAGAGAGAGAGAGAGAGAGAGAGAGAGAGAGAGGTTTTTAAGGTTTAGAACACAGAGATGGATAGTTGAGTTTGGACTCAGGTTTCTTATGCACACAGTATAAATGATGTGAGTTATCTGTAAGGTTCTATTTTGGAAAATAAATGAGATAATGCTAAAATGCCTCCATTCTTTTTCTCATCCGTTTATCCTCAAAAGAATTTCAAGGGATTTTACAACTAGAAAGCATCCTTCACTTTCCTTTGAAGCTCTGGTTACGGACCTGATCAGAGGCATTATTTGAATTTGGTCAAATTGAGTCTTCTGAACAAACACAAAAATTCAGCTGCCTTGGCATCGTTGTGGAGAGGGTAGTATTTTGATTTCATGTCTTTGATCTATCTCTGCCACTACCTCTGAGATTTCTTTAAATTTATTTTATGTGCATTGGTGTGAAGATGTCAGATCCCCTGGAACTGGAGTTATACACAGTTGTGAGCTGCCATGTGGTTGCTCGGAATTGAACCCCAATCTTCTGAAAGAGCAGCCCGTGCCCTTTACCACTGAGCCACCTGTCCAGCCTTAGCTCTGTGATCTTGAGAAAGTCTCTCAGGGTAACTTGCTTCCCAGATTTGCAAAGGGATGAATAGATAAGTTGAATATTAGGGGCCCCGGTGATGACTTAGTGGGTAAGAACACTTGTGCGAGCATGAGGACCTGAGTTAAAATCCACAGCACACAAGTAAAGATCTGGGCATGGATACACATTCTTGTAACCCTAACACTGAATAGGAGAGACATGTGTGCTGTGGGATGTTCTGTATGGCAAATGTGTTGCTCTGATTGGTCAGTAAATAAAACACTGATTGGCCAGAGGCTAGGCAGGAAGTATAGGTGGGACTAACAGAGAGGAGAAAAGAAAGAACAGGAAGGCAGAAAGAGTCACAATCAGCCACCACCAGGACAAGCAGCATATGAAGATGCTGGTAAATCACAAGCCATGTGGCAAGGTATAGATTTATGGAAATGGATTAATTTAAGCTATAAGAACAGTTAGCAAGAAGCCTGCCACGGCCATACAGTTTGTAAACAATATAAGTCTCTGTGTTTACTTGGTTGGGTCTGAGCGGTTGTGGGACTGGCGGGTGACAAAGATTTGTCCTGACTGTGGTCAAGGCAGGAAAACTCTAGCTATACTCTGGGAACTTGCAGGCTAGTCAGCCCAGCTTAAACAGGTACTTTACATCTCAGCAGGGGACTGTCTTAAAGACATAAGATGGAGACTAATAGAGGAAGACAGCTGATGTCCTCCTCTGGCCTCAGTATGTGCACCAAATACTAACATGCATGCACCATGTGCACACCACGTATGTGTACTATGTGTATGCAATCATGGAGTCATGCACCTACACAGCCATGTGTATGCTTCAAAGACACACATACACACACCAGGAGCCATCTTAAACAGCAAAACCTGGAGCTGACTGGGGCTGCTAAGCTAGACTGAAGTAAACCTGGTATTATGCCCTCCTTGACTTGGGAAGCTGGTAGAGATGCCCACATGAGAGCCAAGAGATGGAAAATGAGCTATTTCCACAAAAATAATTTCAGCACCTGAATCCAGCTGGTGCATTTGTTCAAGTCAGAGCACAGCTGTCCACTGACCTGGATCCGAGTCTGCTCTACCCCTAGGCTCCCTCCTGCCCGCAGACCTTCTCTCTCTCTCCCCACCACCCTGGCTCCACGGCCACTCACTCATTGTTTCTGCCTCTGTCTCCTTCCTCTCCTCCACATCTCTCTGCTGCTCTATTTTCTCAGTAGTAAAAGGAAAATGATAATACTGATAATGACATCAATCTTTTGGGATGGCTTCAAAGGTTAAGCAGAATGTCTGAAAATGTCTGGCAGATAACAGAAGCCCAGATGACATTAGGCCTCTTCCCTCTGTGTCCTCTGTTAACTCCTGCTCTGCACATCCTAGGTGCACAGCTGTGATGAAGAACTGGGTTTCCTACCAGGATCTGAACTCTGTCCCGGAATCTAGTTTAACGGCAATGAGGAATCTGCCTGTCTCTAAGCCTGCATCCTCGTCAAGAAGAAGATAAGAATAACACTCCTTAAGTTTATGGAATAGATAAGAGATCATATGACTCCAGTGGGGATAATCAATTGATTTCTGACAGGATCTGAGGCCTTCTCCACAGGACAGACTTCCTGCCTGGTGCTGGGAAACTGGTCAGAAGCCTGTCTTGGGACATCATAAGCCCTAGGGAGAAACTGACTGCTATTTGCCACGAGATCATGGTGCCAGCTGCCTTCTAAACACACATGTCTATATACCATGGATCTGTGCATCTCAGCTTTGGACAGAAAAGCTCCTGCAGTAGGTAGTGGTTAATGCAGAGAATCCTAACAGAGTGAAGCACCAAGAATAAATAACTGTGAGTGCTCAGTCATTGGTAGGACACCCATATCAACCTCCCTGACCCTGGGCTTGGGGAACATTATAAAAGAGGAGACAGAAAAGGTGTGAGAGCTGGAGGGTGCAGAGGACTGAGCAAAACATGCTGTTGCTCTAACGCTCTCACAGATGCTGTGGCTACCTGCCTAGGATAAGCCTCTTGGAGAGGGAGGAGGGGCTACCAAGGCCCCATCCCTGTCTGGAGAAAGAGATCACTTTCCTCTAGGGAGTGGCTACTGATAGGTTTTCCATGCCACA